TAATAAATATTTGTAACCTATTTTAGTCGAGCAAACACAATACAAAAAAAAACTATTTGATTAATGTTACATGGTGAATTAAAAATTAATTAAAATCGTATAATGGATGGTGTGTACGGGTTTTCAGAATTCGGCTTTACGCCGGTATTTCCCTAATGTGTGTGTTCATTAAATTTGTTTCGGTGTTAAAGCTCTGACCTGGTTTAACATTTTTTTAATTGCGAAAACCGTTCAAAGCAAATTAAATGAATTACTTTCATTTTCTTCAAAAAAAAAATCTTAACTTTTTGCTATAAACTTTTAATAGAATTACAATTCATAAGATGAATAAATCTTAAATTTGTTGAATCTTCTTCAAATTTTATGAATACACAAAATTACATTCATTATTTTTTTACTCAAAAGTTTTTGCAATTTGAAAATCATTTAATATTAACATTTTGTAAAGAGAGATATTTTTCAAAATACAGTAATATCTCGCATAGTCCTTGACTATTTGAAACCGCACAAAAATAGACTGTAAACATAATACATTTTTGTCTACTATTTTTTTTTAGAATTAATAAATTTATTTATAAGCTAAAATTGAATTAAAATTTAGTTTGTTTATCATTTTAAGGATTGATCGAAGCCGGACTCTGCGAGGTTTTGTTGTAAAATGTAATTCATAAATAATAGAAAAGAAATATTTTTGTTATATATTTTTTTTTATTGAATAACAATTATTTTCTGTAAAGATAAAAAGTATTCACAAGTAACTATTATTATAAATTTATAATTATAAAATCATTTCGCATCAATTTAACAAAAGTATAAAGATTTATGCAACAATTGCAGATTTCTTTCGAATAGAAGTTGATGGTTTCGTGCGTTTCTTCTCGCAGAAAATACAAAGCGGTTGTCTCCAATTTTTTCTCGGACTGATGTTCATATTCCTCATATACTGCACGACCAAACCTGTGACAAGTTTACTAAACATCTGCTGTCTTTCCTTCCCTTTCAGGTTTGACCGATCAGTAACCTCCAAGGCGTGAGCTTTGACTTCGGTCGATTTTGGGCATTCACAAACGATAGTTGAAGACATCTTCTGGCTGTTGTTGCTTCTTTGCTAGTTCAGAACTGAATATACAAGTTGTGCTGTTCATTCCTGTTTATATACGGTTTTTCTTGAGTGTTGGGGGTAGGTAAGAAGGGTAGATAAGAAGGGTAGAAAGCCATTAAAGTATAATTAAGGATCATAAAGTACTTGAGGTAAACATTAGTTTTGCTATTGTAATGTTACGTTTTTCATTGATCATTAGGAATATACCTGTACTGGACCCAAAGTTTATGACTGTTGTTGAAAAAAAGTTAAGTATTTTTTATAATTTTGTTCTCGTTATTTTCAGTTTATTGCATCAATAAATTTATTTTTTCATTTTAATTTGAAAATCAAACAAACATTATAATTTTTCATAGAATTTTCATATAAACATAATTTTATGAATAAATTTCCAATAAAAAAAAACAATTTAATTATTTCCAATAGAATTTTTCAATGATAATTATGCTAGTTTTTACTTTGATTAAATTAATGATTGAAATAAAATAATTTAAAAAAATGTAAAAAATTTCAATAGAACTTTTCCATGATAATTATGTTTGTTTTTTTGTAATTTGATCAAATTAATGATGGAACTAAAATAAATACAAAAAATGTAAAAAAATTCAATGGAATTGTTCAATGAAACTTATGTTTTTTGTAATTTGATCAAATTAATAAATTTCAACAGAATTTTTCCATAACATTTTTTTTTTTAATTTCATAAAAATAATGAATGAAATGAAATAAAATAAAGACAATAAATTTAAAAATTATTAATTTTCTATAAATTGTTTAAAAATTACCAACTTTTCCATTACTATCAAATATCAAGATAAAGTTTTTTTTTAATTTCATCGCATTAGTTGATAATTTGTAAATTGAAAATTTATCTCAAGTATTCATTAAATATAAAAAAATAGTTAATAAATGTTTGATCATCATTTATAGTTAATTATAACATAATTTCAATTTTATTTAAAAATGAACAAACAAAAAAAATTATAAAGTTATTTTCATATTTTGTTAAATAAAAATGTAAAAGCTGCAAAGGCTATTATAAATAATGAGGGATTACTTCCTCTATATTTCCGCTTTATGCAGACACAATTTGAAATATCCCAAGAGCGAGTCACAGTGTAACAAGCATTTCTGAAAAATGTACACATGACGTACTTTCCGATTTACGTCACTTTTGACAGTGAAATATTCACTATAAATAACGCTTTTTGATAGAAACATTTCATTTTAGGTATACCAATTATTTTGTTTATATGCTCCTCTTTAGAACTCGAATTGAGAACGAATTTATATAAAACATTAGAAAATTACAAAAATACTTCATAATATTTATTGCAACAAATTTAATATAAACTTAACATAATAACAAAATAATTCTAAGTAAAATTGATGCAAATTATTTTCATATGTAAATTGTCTAATACGATTTCTTCAAAATATATATTTTTTTATATTATTACAGAATGTGGAATAATGGTTTATGTATATTTTCATGGAAAAGCTCAAAATTTTTATTGACCCAAAAGGGAAATTGACCGCAGTCTTTCCGCCCGAACTTACATGTTTTTGAACGTACTATATAACAAGTTTTGACAAGCATTGACACGTTTAGTGGCGTATTTCAAATTTCTATTTTATTTTAATGATTTAATTTCTTTTAACTTTCTTCAATAATTAAATTATTGTGAAATTAGTAAATTCTATACATGATTAAACGACAAACATGTCTAAGCACATTATATAAATTTATTATTGCCGTGGTAAATTATAATAGTATTAATAGTTATCAGGTTTTACAGGTAAAAAGTTCCATTGTTTTGGTAAAATATATATTCTCTCAGAAATCATAACTTGACGTATGATGACATGTCAGATTCTATTTTATTCTCTCCTAAACATAAATTATTCAGTTAAACGTGAAGAAGTTATTGAATTAAATGTAAAAAAAATCATATGAATTATATCACAACTCAATGACAGCATTTTATTTTGCTTTGATTGGTTTGGAAATCACATTACAATTTTGTTAAAAAATATTGAAATTTTTGTGAATTTAGTAATTTTTATTATTTATATCATAGAGATTTATTGTATTAAAATGACAAGTAATGACAATTCATTGAAACGTCATATTAATAAAAATATTATTGGAATGCAATATTTAAGTGAAAAAATAATAGAAATTGATGAATTGAACTTTTTTTCTATATTTAATCTATGGGGTTTAAATTTGTCATATAATAACAGCATTTTTTTTGTTCTTTCTTCATAAAATGTTTCCCATCTTAAACTTTATTTAAAAACATTTGTATTTTTTTTATGAAAATTAAATTTGTCAACTAATGACAGACAAACAAAAGCATAATAGCAACAATTTTGTTATTACCACATCAAATGTTTTAAATTTTATATGTATTTAATCTATACAAATTGAATTTGACATATAACGACAATCAGTGTCAAAGCATATCAACAGCACATTTTTTGTTTTTCTTAAATATTTTTTTCCCCATTTTACAATTTATTTAGAAAATTTGTAAAATTTATATATTTTTTTGTATTTAATTAATTTAAATATGACAAATTGAAAACCAATGTCAAAGCACAATGAGATGAATTAATTATTATTGTTATTAAATATTAACATTTGATGATCTCATTTTACGATTTATTGTTTAGTTTTTGACAACAACTGTCAAAGCATAATCAAAGCTAGATTAAATTATTTACAAAAAAATTACAATATTTCCTAATTTTCATCTATATTCATATAAATTTATAAATTTTCTATGGAATCTAAATTTGACATATAATGACAATAATTGTTAAAGTATTATAATTGTAATTGATTATTATTATTACCAACTCAAATGCAATTTGTTGAATTTAATATAAAATTATTGACGTATGTATTTCACAGATGTCGCTACAGTTATAGCAAACATGAGAAGCACTGACATATCATAATGACATCATATCAGATCTTGTTGTTTTATTTCCACCTAAAACACACATTGTCCGAATGCAGTATTGACGTGGCAAATGAAAATGCCATCGAAATGGAACGGATCGACGAATCGAGTGAGTGAGAGAGAGAGAGAGAGAGAGAAAACTAAATAAGTTCTCAAGTGCAATTGTGAGTGAGGGTGGAAGGGAGGCAGCAACTCAATTTGGGGATTATTTCGGCGAGGCCGCATTGGAAGCCAGGCTCCGATCGATCGGAAATGCATTAAGTGTCGACCAGTTCAATGTTTTTATTTTCCATTTCATTTCGATGTTTTCCCTCGTTTTTACGGATGTTGTTTTATCCATACCCGGCATGTGAATGGCATACAGGTATATATGTGTATACCTATATATATATATTTACGTAACGTCACCAGCAACGGTTTGTATGTAGCAAACAAGGTGCGGTTTAATTCCCATTCGTCACAAGGGTGCATTTTTATTCTCCTTCATCCCCTTCGGACATTTGCAAACCGCGAATTTTATCCAATTCCACATCGATCATATTTATCTTCAACCTCTTTCAGATAAATATGATACAGGAACGGTTAAAACTATGCGGTGTTAAATCGAGCGTGGAGAGTAGATAGGGTCTAATTGATTTTTTTTTTATGTTGGAAAGTTTATCGGCAACTCCTGATTCTTCAATTAATTACTAACTGGATTCTTTTCTTTTTGTTTTTTTTTGGTTGTCTCTCTTGTAAGTTATTAAACGCGGGGATGGCCTTTAGCTACCAAACCAGAAACTTCGTTACCTCCATTTATCTGCTGCTCTTACATGAAGGTAAAATCAATGGGGCGAGGGAGGCTTTTCTTTGAGAGGGGAAGCTCTCTCTTTTTTTCTCCCCGAAGTTCCATATTTAATCGATAGATGGCGCGCGACGAAACTCACCTTTCGGAAGTCTCCCTGTATGACCATGGGCGGAGGATGATTGTTTCTTGTCGTCGGGCCCGGTGTAACTCGCAACGGGGACGAGGTGAGGTCCAAGGCCTCTCGCCCATTATCCTGAAACAATAACAAAAAAAAATTAAAGTATATAAGGATAAAATAGTGAATTTCTTGATATATCTTATATAAGAAATGTTCAAAATACAAATTTAAATAAAATTTGTACTTTAAAGTTTGTTCTATAATTACATAAATTTAACAGGTAAAATTGACATAAATAAGGATACATGACAGATGAGAAACGTCAAATTGTAAACTTATGAGTCACATAGGATTTTTTTTATCAATATCATTACAACAACGAAAATTAATGTTCAATGAGTTTTAATAAGTTATACAAGTTTCATATTTTTTTACGAAAATTCTAGTGTTAAAATTAATAACATAAACGCACATGACAGATGAGTAACGTCAAATTATAAACTTATGTGTCATTATTTTATCAAGAAAGAAGATGAATTTAATTATTAATTACACAGTTTTGAATGACTTATATAAAAATAAATATACTTTACAACTTTTTTATCTAAGTTAATTAAAATTTATTAATTTGTAGTAAGTTTGATTGATGCAAACGAAATTTGACAGTAAGACCAATTGACATAAAATATGACAGATGAGAAACGTCAAATTGAGAACTTATGTGTCAAATAAGAAATTACTTAATTTGATTAATAAATAATGCAAGGAACATAAATTTAATTAATAATTAGACGAATTTCAATTAGTTTTAAAAAGTTACATAAGTTTTTTACAACAGGAAATTTATTAAGTTTGAAAATATTTTACACAAGTTAATTAAAATTTTAACTTACATAATGTAAATTGTTATTTTGTAGAAACTTTGATTGGTGGAATCATATTTTGACAAGTAAAATCAATTGACATACACAAATGCATGTGACAGATGAGAAACGTAACATTTTAAAATTATCTAGGAAATGAATAATAAATAATTTAATGAATAAATAACATAACGCAAATTATTCATTAAACACTTTTCAGCGCGTTTTAATTAAATTTACAAAGTTTCAAAACTTTATACCGAAGTTAATTATAATTTCATCTTACATAATGTGAACAATTCATTTGTAGCAACCTTAATATATTATTCCAATATTTGACACATATATGACAGATGAGAAACGTCAAATATTAAAATTATGTAACAAATAAGAAATAATCAATTTTATCAATTAACAACACAACGAATTTGAAGTTAATTATTCATTAACCAGTTTTAATCAGATATACAAAGTTTCAAAACTTTTACGAAGTTAATTAAATTGTTATCTTATGTAAACTATTACTTCGTTACAACCTTAACTGTCAGATACGAAATTTAACAAATATAATCATGTGTTAATTGAGTTTACTTATTAACAAACATATTTGAGAGATGAGAAATGTCAAATTGCTGTAAATAAGTTAAGTAACAAATAAAAAACAAATAATTTTAACAATAAACAACAAAAATAAATTTAAATATTAATTAGATATTGAAAAAGATATACAATTTTGTAAACTATTTAAATTAATTAATTAATGTCAAATGTCAAAAATTGACATAAACGAACACTCATGACAGATGAGAAACGTCATTTTTTTAAATTTAAATTTAAAAAAACGTATTACGTATGAACTATTCATTCGTAATAAACTTAATACATTTTACAAAAATCAATTGACATAAACAAACGCACATGGCAGATGGAAAATGTCCAATTTTAAAGTTCTTCAAATGTTTATAAAACTTTAATAAATAGTTTTCTACTATTATAAGAAGTATAAAATGTATTACCTCACTAATAATCAGCAGCATTTTTTGCCAAACCATCTACGAACAGGCACAATGTTATACTATTCGAAAATAACCGACTGAATACATTTATTTCTTTGTATTTCTTAGGTTTCTCTTCCAACTAAAGCTCGACCATGAATTGTTTGTAAACTAATAAGTACTATTAACACTTCCTAATCCAACAAATTGTTTTCGTGTAAAAATAACAAATTATTTTTCCACCAGTTATTACACATTTCATACAAGCATAATATTGTACGATAATAATTAACAATCAATTAAAATTAATTATATAAAAGAATAATACAATTATTATATTCAATTTAAACTATTTACACTTTGTTCAGAATGCGTTTAAATTAATAAATGAATCAATTTCCAAAATAATGACGAAATATATGTTAAATTTATTTAATTGACCAACGTACATATATAATTAGGGTAAACGTAAAATCAACATTAATATACTATTAATTGTATGTCTGTTTGTAATGAGAATCCATTTTGTTAATTTATATTTAAATAAAATATGAAACATAATTTAAACATAAAGTTCATTTTATAATGATTTACAATATTTAAATGTATCACCATAATGAAAAAAAAAACTATATAAAGGTGAGTACACACTGTCAAATGTATTTGACGAGTAGTTGTACCAACTTAATTTTTATAATATCAGAGAATCCATCTCATATATTTATTAGTACAGCAATACCTCGCATAAACCGGTTAATCCAATATTCCGGTCTGTTTGAAACCGGACTAATCGAGGAACTAAATCAGTAAATATTTTGTTTATTTTCGGACTTTAGCGAATCCGGACTATATGAGTAACCGTATACATTTCTTGAAATTATATTATATATTAAATATAATATACTTTAAGGAATGAAAATTTCATGAAATACTCTGACGTAATTGAAGATAAAAACAAGTAACGTAATTGCATTTGTTCTGTTGTGGAACGTGTGTGTTGCGGATAGGAACGAAATTGGTTGGTTTTATTTTCGCGAAAAAATAACGTAATTGGATACAACAGACAACGGAGCGCTATTTCTAAAGACCGGACAATCCTTTGATGAAGTCAGCAAGTTTAAGAAGAAACGAACAATAATCCGGACAGATCTAATATTTAGTTTGCAGTAATTGTTTGCACTGGAATTTTATTTTGTCAAAGATTTTTTGTACACGTCAATGCAAATGAATTTTCTTTTAGATTTTTATAAAGGATTTTCACAGCACGCAAGTGAAAATCCTTTATAATTGACTTTGACGACACTCGTCTAATCCTGTTTAAGAAACTAGAGACTTGTCCTACATTTTCACAACATTTTCTTTCTTTTCTGATGCAAGATGTTCATCAATTTCTCATTTTCCACTAAATTTGCACTATTCACTATTTTTTTTGTAATACAGAATTATACTTTTAAAGGTGTCTACGTTTTAAATAATACTTTGCGATATATATAAAATATATATTAACTTATATAAATAAATTTCAAAATTGAAGACATACATACTTGATACTTGAAAAGTAATTTGGGAAACATCCAATATTATGTAAAAAAAATCAAATCTTAATTGAAAACTAATTTAAGTTTATATAATTATTTCATAGGTTTAAGAAAATCTACGCTAATCTCTTTCTTTTACTTGTTACTTGTCAAGTAACAGAAATGCTTGGTGATATAAATACCAAAATGAATATACTTGTAACATTTAACTTGTTTCAATAATTTTCAAAATTAAAGACACACATATTTGATACTCGACAAGTAACTTGGGAATTATGTAAATTTCTTTCAAATTCGATACATTTTCGAACAAGTCATCATCATTATTATGAGAGAATATTATAGTAAAACAACAACATTTTTGCAAAATTTCTTTTACTGAAAATTATTCATTATTTTTTTTCATTTTATGCTTTTATATTAAGTTGTCTTTATTAAATCTGACATAATCGTAGTTAAAAAAAACTAATTATTCTTTCCACAGTTAATTTAGTAAACTAATTATTCTGTAAATTAAGATAAAGTATGCATTGTAACAAACTGTCCACTGCAATTAAAGTCCGGTTCGTTCGGACAACGAGGGTTGATTTATTTCTAACCAGTTTAAACCTTATTAATCAACAACAACGAACGAACAACTACATCAAGCAAAGTCAGAATGAATCATTTCACTTTTAATCATTAATTACTCAATCAAACTAAATCGTTTTTTTATATTTACTGCATATTTAGCACATCAGCAGGATTAATTAAGTGCTTCTGGGATTTATCGAATCGGGGATCGTGCTTTACAAATTTGTATAATTAGTCGCTGTAATTATGTGGATAAATAAATTTCGATCAGATAAATTGCAAATGGAGAGACAGAAAAAAATAAATATAAAATATACATAATATACACGTAATAAAAAAAGGAGAAAATATGCATATAAATAATTCGTCACGCAAAATGCGAATGGAAATAAAGGAAAAGTGCGTGCTTTTTTTTGGAGACTCCAACGTGCGTTGGGAATCGATTGTCCACGTGGCACGTAAATAATGAATTGATGAGCCACAAATGGTCTGAAATCATTAATTACGTTAAATAATTGATTATGTGGGCGCAGTGGGAGACGCCGGTGCTCTGGGGGGAGGTTTCAGGAGTTATAGTGGTCATGATTTATGTGCAGATACGTTCGATTCAATTAATGTTATTATTATTATTGTTGTTATTCATTGCGGATTCATGGCGGATTGTGGAAGGGAAACGATTAAAACTGCTTCATTAATAGATTTACGGATGTTCAATCAAAATTTGTTGTTGCGTGATAATTTTGAATTGTTGTGTGCGATTACGTTTGATTGCTCCAGTTTCCTAGGTTACATAAATGTATATACAGATAGTTAAGTATCGCATCCATTTCTATAGTTTTTATGATTAAGTATATACACGGCAAACTGTCTAAAATCATGTGTACCGAGAAAATGTTTATACAGAACACACTGTCAAATGGAATTACAAAATTTCGCTATACTTCCAATTACTTGGCAAATACCACGTCCATTACTACAGTTTCTTATGTTATGAAAATTTTTGCTACTTAATGTCTCTACTTTCAATTACTTGCCAAGTACAGCGCCCATTGCTACAATTTCTTAGGTTTCGTAAACGTTTAGTGGAAAACAAACTTTAAATGGAATTACAACATTTCGCTATTTGATGTATCCATTTTCAATTAATTGACAAGTACCGCGT